CACACACACACACACACACACACACACACACACACACACACACACACACACACACACACACACAGACACATGCTTCGATTTTGGATCTACTCTTCTGGGTGAAAAAGGGCCTGTTGCGGTGACAAATTAACACACACACACACATAGACGCTTGCTGGGTGTGAAGGCGAAGCAGATTCCACAGCTACTGAACACTCGCACTCCAGACATGCGTCGTTGTCTCTTACTGACCGGACAATGCGGACATAGAGCAAGTCGGCAGCACACCTATTGGTCTTGGAAGCTCTTTGATCACTGCCATTGTGGGATGATTCAGCTCATGTCCGATCCGGATGTCATCAGCACACCGCTCGGTAGTATTTTTGATGGCATGGTTCCCTGTGAATATGTACTCAGGCCTGTATACATCGCCCGTCACGCCATGGGAATTTCTTTTGCCCGAAATCGTCTCTATGATAAACCAATGACTTATGTGTCAACACCCCTGCTGATGTTCCTGCTGCACCCATCCACTCGATCCTCTCATGGCATTTCCCTTAGACCAACCTACTCACATGCAAATAGGTATTAACAACCACGTTAACACCACAAAGAACAAAGAAATCCCATCTCGACCCTTAGGTACTAGTAGGAAGTTGATATCTGAGAAGAAGTAACCCTTTGTTCCGTTTCTACTAGTTGGAATTTTGCTGTAGAATTCTCCAAGCGTACCCAAAACATCAGAGTTAAAAGAAGAAGAAGAAGAAGAAGAAGAAGAAGAAGAAGAAAGAATAGAAAAGAAAAGAAAAGCAGAGAGTTTTAATACTTCGTATCAACCGTATTTTTGGTTTCGGAATGACAAGAACGATGAGGGCTGCTGAAATAGGCCCCTGGATAAAACGACTCAGGGACCACTCAGACCACGACATTCCAACCCGGCCTTGATGCACCTGACCGTTTTTCCAACCCGGCCTTGATGCACCCGACCGCAATTACGTCCACAGAGAAGTGGAAAACGTCCTAGTGCGAGTATGCCCTCGGAATTATGGAGTAATGGAGTGTGGAGGGTTGGACGTGTCTAGTGTCTGTGAAACTTCAGCTGCCGTGTCTGTGTTCCTAGCATGCGGAAGCCGTGTTGCATGTGTGACACCTTTGTATGGAGTGGCATTGGAAATAGTGAAGGCAGGAGTACTTCGTCGGGTGTCACACATGGTAAATAGTGGAAGGCGGGAGTATTGAATCAGAGTGGTAGCAATGGGCCTCGCTCAGTTGGTAGGCCCGTGAACTGCTGAAATGCAGACTGGAGTTTGAATCCTTAGACGGTGATATGCCACCAGATGACCAGAACAAAATCATTGTGAATTAATTACCTGGGGCCAGTCAATTCAATCATGACATCTGAAGGCCGCCGCCCTTTTACTGTATGAAAAAAAAGAATCAGGTGAGAATGGGAAGGTGGATAGATAATTCAATAAATAGGTTGGAGTGTCAAGAGGGAGGTCCATATAGTGAAGTAAGAGGGAGGTCCACAACAAGCCCTTTTCCACCCAGATGGGTTTCAAGGGTTCGCCTGTAGATCGCCTCCAACACGGCAACAAGTTTATGTATACCAGGTTCATCGGCGAACAACCGAACCCTTGTATATAAGAGTCTACTCAAAATCATTCTGAATTACGGTGTTATAGCAGAGGGTGTACTCAAAAGGGGTAAGACTTTGCCTTAATCAAATTCGCTGCAGTAGAAACGGTGTCTTGCACATAAGAGTCTACTCAAGGGAGCAGAGGATGTACCTGTAGTTTCCAGCAGTGCCTTGTTGAATGGCCGTCCTCGATGTTGGAGGGGTCCCGAGATTGGTGTCCGGTAGGTTCAGTTCCAGTAGGCGCGGTGGTTGACTGATTGAGTTGATGAGACACTCAAGTAAATGCCATAACCTGCAGGCTTGCAGCAATCATTGCGTACATTGATCCTGAGCATGCATGGACTTGTTCCTTACTGCTTGTAGAACTGATGTGTGTGGGCTCCGGCGCAGAGCAGGCTGTGCACACGGGCTGTGTGTCCGAGGAACGGAGAACGGACAAAATTGAACGCCATTGAACCCGTTCAATGGGCCCGGGGACCCCTGTTGAATCGCGTTTAATGCAAAAACGGGGGTGTCCCGTTGGATTTTGAAAAACGGAACCGGCGCGTTGGGCCTCGGACACGTGCCCCTACGCGCCGAAACGCAAACCAAAAAAAAAAAAAAAAAAGCAACCTGAACAATTCAGCCCTACCTACTACAAGGTTCCTGTACCCCTCCCCCCCCCCACACCCGATAGATGAGACAACCTTTTTACCCCGGTTTGAGACACAAACGAGGGGGAAGACACCTAAACATACTACCCATTGTGCTGCTCCCCTCCACTATGAACGCCTCTCTCTAATTGGGAAACCCCATGGTACCCAGACGTCTACCCCCCTTTAGGGAGAGGCAGGGAGTAGCAGACCAGAGTTCTCTGGGCCCGTATGCTAGTATACTATAGTCTGGTACTTACTATGTATGATCACCTTATGAGTTTCCAACAGTCCACTGCAACTAGTGCTTCCTATTTGATATATAAAGCAACCGATGGATTGTATGATCGCCTTGTGAGTTTCCAAGAGTCCACTGCAGATAATATGAC